CCAGGTCTAAACCAGAACTGACCCAAGTCTAAACCAGGACTAAACCAGAACTAAACCGGGACTAAACCAGAACTAAACCGGGACTAAACCAGAACTAAACCGGGACTAAACCAGAACTAAACTGGGACTAAACCAGAACCAAACCAGGTCTAAACCAGAACTGACCCAGGTCTAAACCAGGACTAAACCAGAACTAAACTGGGACTAAACCAGAACCAAACCAGGTCTAAACCAGAACTGACCCAGGTCTAAACCAGGACTAAACCAGAACTAAACTGGGACTAAACCAGAACCAAACCAGGTCTAAACCAAAACTGACCCAGGTCTAAATCAGGTCTAAACCAGGACTGAACCAAGGACTAAGACAGGTCTAAACCAGGACTAATCTTGGACTAGAACTTGATCTGGTGTCAGCTGCGTTTCGCTCTGTGGAGTGTGGAGTTTTGCGTCGGTCCTTTCGCCCGCGGTCACCTGACGGTCTACGTGGGCGCGTCTCCGGCGTTTCACCGCTGCTGATATCGCGGTAATTTTAGCTCATTTGTATGAAGAAAAACGAAAAACGCACCACTTTAATCCAGGTTAAAAATGCATTGTGACGCGTGTTAAAGTAAAATATAATTATTTTTTCCCCTGTAACGCCACATTACTGCGTTACAGCAAAAAGCAACACATTACAGGAGTTTGTTACTTTTATAAAGCGTTACTCTCGACACCGCTAGTGACAGTGAAACTCTCAGGTTTGAAACAAAACTCTAAATCTGAAAAAAGAACCTAATAACACACGTTCCATCATTATTCACGTACGCTCCATCGCCACAGAAACACAAAGCAAAATGTTTACTTAAAGGTTGTATGGAGGATTTTTTGTTTTTGTTTGAAATTGTCATTGAAAGTTTAAAATACCATTACAGAGACGCAGCAGCCTTTTAATTATGACGACCGAAAAAAAAAAAGAAAGAATGAAAATCTATCAGTAGTGGACGTAGTGAGGCCAGATAAACATCAGCCAATAGAAAACGAGGCTCCCTCTTTTTCTATTGGCTGTTAGGTCGTCAATCAAACTCCCTACATTTTTTGTGTAACTGACTCTTCGGCGCTCAGGGATTATGTGGTTTATGCAGCGGTTCTTTGAGGCTTTTTCAAACTGTAGCTTCCTCGCAATTCGCACAAAGTTTGTTGCGACGGCGGACGAGAATCCACGACCAGTTCGCCGCAAAAGAAAGTCCGAAGGGTCTAAAAAGTGACGCGTCGGTCGCTAAAATATTTCTAGGCAGGTCACTTCAACAGTCATTCTGAACACGCACTGGATGTAAACAAACGTGATTTGTAGAGTAAAGAGGCGGGAGGAGGAGGTGTTTCTACTGAGGAAGGTGGTGTCACACATGCACAACATTTGAAAAAGGACGGTCGCTGTATTTCGCTTCCCTTTTTAACTTATTTCCTCTTGTAGCGGGGGGGACCGACGGCCAGACACAGTTTAAGGGGAAGTCGGCCGTGTGAGTGGGAGGGGTCAGTTTCCGTGGGCGACCAGGTGGACCCACGTTTGGCCGAGGAAACTGGTGGGTTTTTAAATGTTTTTTGTGTGAGAGTGAATGAGACTGTGCATTTTTAAAATCAACTGTCGTGTGTTTGGGCGGCCACACTGTTTTTAAATGAAGCTGCGGGGGAGCTGCGTGTGGATTTACGACACCGGTAGCGACATTTTAAATTGTTTTTAGATGATTAAAGTTTATCGAGCCTGTCCGTTTTTTGTCATTTTGGATTTTTGTGTTTTTTACAGTTGGCCGTCGTCCCTGCCGTCCTGTAGTTTGTTTGTTGTTTCTCCGTGTCCATTCATGTTAAATAAAAAACCTAAACTGCATCCCCGGCTCCGGACTTTTATTACCACGACTATAACGCGACGAAAGAAGATCTAACCTGAAAACCAGATCCTGGAGCTCGAGCGTTGATTAAAGTAACAAAACGCTCCATCGGAATTAGACCAGGATCTATTCCACAACTCAAGAGGACGACTTTAGATTTACACCTTTTCTAACGACGCTGATCTAACGCGCTGGAGATTTCTATCAGTTTTATCGTTTGTGCTGTTTAAAGTCGTCATGATTATATTGAAAAAAACTGAATAACACCTTCCAGATCAACCCCACGTCACATGCAAATCCTCAACAGTTAACGGTTAAAAACATTCACTTTGCACAAATCACCTCAAACACTGAACCGTTGCATGAAGTGTGAAACTGCTCCCTCTGGTGGTCGAGGACGGGCTGCGCAGGTTTCGGTCTCGTCTTTCTGAAGTAGGCACCGGTAAATCCCTTTGACTCAACACAGAAAAATGAGTAAATTCGACAGATTTTTGTCCTCGAGGCTCACGGTCGCTCTGAGCGTTTTGTGCTTTCAAAAAAAAAAAAAAAACAACCTCCCCCACGTTTTTAAAGTGCAGAACTCGCCGCACTGGAGCAGGTTTAGCTCAGCTTTAGCGCGCCGCCCTCCACCCAAACCTCACAAAACCTCGGGAGATCCAGGAAGTGCTCCGTCTGCTTCAAGAAACCAAACAGGAGGACGTCTGAACTTTTGAACATCTCGGGGTTTTTCCCGCGATTTTCACTCTCGTAAAGTTCGCGTGCGCACCCGCCTTAGAGGGAAAAGAGCCGGAGATAAATCTGGTACAGTCGGTACGCTTTAGGGGGGTGCTCTACGTGTGTCTCTGTGGCAGAATGTTCAGCTGTTACCATGGAGACACGATGCACAAATCAGCAAACACTGTCAGAAAAGTTCGATAGTCTGAAATCTCTCTCTCTCTGTGCGATTTCAGATCCGCTCGAAACCCGACGGTCCGGCGGAACTTTAGGTTAAGGGGGGAAGCCGTTTTGAACCGTAAAAATCCAAAAACTTCCCCGACGAAGAGGAGATTTACAACCGGTTTGGACTTGGTTGCAGGTTTAAACGTGAGGCTCGGTCCAGACGGCAAAATCTGAATCCCCGTGAGCTAAAAAGGACTTCGTTTAAAGAGGAGATCGTCAAAAAACTTTTTCCTCTTCGGTCGGGGTCGGGTCAGGGCCGCATAAAAGAATTGTACGACCCTTGACGACACAGATAACATTTGAAAACCTTCGGATTTTCTTTACAAACAAATTTCACGGTCTTTAGACGGAACAAAAAAAGAATCGGTCGTCTTTTATTCTTTGAAAACTCGGCGCTCTCTGTCAACTTTTCGTACTTTAACACTCGTCGTTTTGTTGTCTTTAACTGTGTTTACAGAACTTTGCGCGTGCGTCGGCTGTCACTTTTTAACCTTGAGTTTGTCACGTAACGAAAATTCGTTAATACATCACGTAATTATAATTTAAATATTACAAATACTTCATGTTTTAATCAAAAAAATCAACAAAATATGAGCTTGCAGACGTGTTATTATTTGCCCAAAAGTACGTTAAAAGGAGCTGGGGGGCCGAAAAAAGGGGCGTGGTGGGCCGGAATCAGCCCGCGGGCCTTAATTTGACGATCACGTTTTTTGTTTTTTTTTTTACTTCTTTGTGGCATTAACTGTAACACGGAACAAATCTCGATCACCGTGTTACCGTTTCTCGTTTTGAAAGTGCTTTGTTTTGTTTGCTCTAAGGCCCCGCTTCCCTCTTCTTTTTGCTCCCCAGGCTAAGTCACTCCCCCTTCAGAGCACTATCGCAACACAACCAGCGTGTAAGGAAACTCCTGCACGTCTCATCGGGTTTGTGCACAGTTTTGCGTCGTGTTTTTCTTTATATATTTACGGAGAATTGTCGTGTTGGGGCCCAGGAGAGATCGCTAAATTACTCAAACATGCACGAATGACGTAAACCTAAACCTCTCCGGGCGTATTTTCAACAAGAGAAGATGTTAGAAGGCTAAAAATTGCCACTTTTGATCGCCATGCCGGTCTAATTATCGGATTTCGTCGATAAAACGTGAATCAAACTCGTAACTCGATGAAAACGTGAGGGTGAGTGATTTTTACGCTGTCCGTGGTGCTGAAAAGAAAAAAAAAATAGAAAAGAAAGCACCGGACACGTGATTTTGTCTGTGTCGCTGTCCGTGGTGCTGATGCAGACTCGTTTTTTTTAGCTCACGTGGACGCGATGTTTGCCATTTGAAGGACATGGCTCGTTGTTGGCGCGTGTTTTTTTTTTTGTTCTAAGGTCCAGTTGGGATTTTAAACTATGCACTCCTTTATTCGCCAAAGCATCTGATAGAGTTGGGATTATCAATAAATCCAGATATCGGCTAATAATCGGCTTTTAAGAGCCGATTCTGGGTGGTTTTAACGCAGAACTCCGCGGGCTCGTGCCTCACCGGAGCGCGCGGGTCAAACTGTTCCGTTCTCCGGTGTTAGAGGACGTGATTAGACTCGCAGTGCGTCGCGGCTGGCTCGTGTTCGGACGTGTATGGCTCTGTAATCCGTGTCGTTACGTCTTGGAGATCATTGCGCGTAAATCCGGAGCGTATCTTTTGTGCGTGTGATTAGAAAGAAAAAAAAACAAACAGCTTTGACCAGATTAAAAACGTGACTGGACATGTCGATCACGTGATGCCCTTCCCCTCCACATCCATAAAAACGCCGAATAATTACGTAAATGTGTCCGCGAGGCGCCACAGGTGTCCGCTCTGCCCTCTGGCGGAATTCTAAACGTGATTGACAGCAGCGGCACAAACGTGACATGTGAGGACGGTATGGCTTCGCTCTTAAAGCCCCGTGAGCCGCGCGTGTCTGACTCGAGGCTTTTTTTTCGGAATTGTTGCGTCCGTACGACACCGTGGAGCCGCGCCGCTGATTAAAAACGTGATATGATTGGGTATGACTCGTAATATTGGCTGTTGTGTTTGCGCTGCGTCTCTTTACATCGCGGATTAAACGTGTTCGGAACATGGCACATTGTCGCACGAGGTCATTGTGGCACCTGTAATTGTCTTGTCTCCGCTCTTCTGATTAAAAACGTGACCGGAATATGAAACGCGCTCCGCTCGCTCTACGCGCGCCCGCGGCACCACCTGAAGCGGATCATTTTGTGGAACGCCTGTTTGAAGTCCTCGTTGGACATGGTGTAGATGATCGGGTTGATGAGGGAGTTGAGGTACCCGAGCCACGTGAAGATGTCGAAGAGCTCCGCGTGGAAACAAGAGGCGCACGAGGGCTCGAGCAGCGTGTAGATGAAGAAGGGCAGCCAGCACACGATGTACGCGCCCAGGATGATGCCCAGGGTCTTGGTGGCTTTGCGCTCTCTCGCGGCACAGATGCGTTTCTTCTCCAGCAGCGCGTCCGACACCGTGACTTTGACCTGACTGCACGGGGACGAGGACGGCTCGCAGCAGGACGGCGGCTCGCTGTTCGTGCCGTAGTTGAGGGACGTGGTGGACGCCACGGAGCCGGGGGAGTTGGTGATGAGATGCGCAGAGGTCAGCCTCTTCCCGGGCTTGTTGTTGGACTGTTTTAGAATGCGCTTCCGCGCCTCCACGTAGATGCGTCCGTACAGCGCGATCAGCAGCAGCGTGGGGATGTAGAAGGCGCCAAAGGTGGAGTAGATGGTGTAGAAGATGTGGTCCGTGTTCACGTTACAGCTCGTCACCTCCTCCGCTTTGACCTGCCTCCAGAAGAACGGCGGCAGGGAGATGGAGATGGCGATGACCCACGCGGTCGCGATCATCCCCGCCGCGCGCCTCGGCGTGCGCTTCTTGGCGTACTCCACCGCGTCCGTGATGGCCCAGTATCGGTCCAGCGCGATGACGCACAGGTGCAGGATGGACGCGGTGCAGCAGGTGATGTCGGAGGAGAGCCAGATGTCGCACATGACCTGCCCCAGAGTCCAGGTCTGCAGGACGGTGTAGAGCGCGCTGATGGGCATCACCAGCACCGACACCAGCAGGTCCGTGAGCGCCAGGGACGCGATCAGGAAGTTGGCCGGAGTGTGGAGCTTCCGGGACTTGTAGATGGTCACGATGACGAAGGCGTTGGAGAGGGTGGTCGCCAGGGTGATGAGCGCTAAAGTCGTCGCTAGTCCGGCGCGGAACGCCGCGCTGTTCCGCTCCGCCGCCGCGCCGCTCTCCGGGCGCGCGGTCACGTTATTCCATGAATCGTTGTTGGAGAAATTCAGCAGCAGCTCTCCAGACACGAGCTGCCTGGCCATCCCTCTCCTCTCTGTCGCGCGTCACATCACGGAAGCGGCAAAAGCGCAAAAATCAACCGAAAAAAGTCAGAAGGACGCGCCTTTAATGCGTCCACAGAACAGGCGCGACTCCATCCTCCCCGTTATCCACGGACGCGCTTCTGCCTCCTCTTCCTCATCCCGCTCTCTGCGTAAAGACAAAATCATCCAAAAACTCCACCGTGACGCGCCGACGCTTCATCCTTTCGCCTCCAAACGTCACATCGTCTCCATGTCAGAGGGTTTCCCGCGCGGCGCTCGGGTCTCGCGCTGGTCTGGACTCGGTCTCCGACTCGGGGCAGGTCTCGGTCCGGTCTTACTCCGCGCTCGCGCTCGGGTTTGGAGCTGGAATGCGTGAAACGTGCGCGCGTCTGCCGCTTTTATACCGCGCCCCCCCCCCCTCCCCTCTCTGTATATCTCCCTCTCTCTCTCTCTCTCTCCTCTCTCCTCTCTCCCTCTCTCTCTCTCTCTCTCTCTCTCTCTCTCTCTCTTTCTCTCTCAAGGTGAGTGTGTGTGTGTGTGTGTGTGTGGGGGGGGGGGGGGGGGGTCTCGCGGGAGCAGGACGTTTCTGGGCTCGTGGCTCGAACATAAAATCAGAGATGAACGTTTCAATTAGAGGAAGATAAATGTATGAACCAGAGCAGAACTAAACCAGGACTAAACCAGGATTAACTAACTCGGGACTAAACAAAAACTGAACCAGATCCAACCACGTCTAACTCGGGACTAGACCTGGACAAAACCATGTCTGACTCAGGACTAAATCAGAACTAAACTAGGACTAAACCAGGACTAATCTGGGACTAAATCAGAACTAAACCAGGTCTAATTTAGGACTAAACCAGGCCTAACTCGGAACTAAACCAAAACTAAAGCAGGACCAACCAGGTCTAACTCAAGAGTAAACCAGGACTAAATTAGAACTAAACCAAACCAGAACTAAACCAGGTCTAACTCAGGTCTAAACCAGAACTAAACCAGGATTAAACCAGGTCTAAACCAAGTCTTACTCAGGACTAAACCAAGACTAAATTAAAACTAAACCAGGACTAAACCAGGAGTAAACCAGGTCTAACTTGGGACTAAACCAGAACTAAACCAGGGCTGACTCAGGGCTAAACCAGGACTAAACCAGGACTAATTTAGGACTAAACCAAGAATAGACTCGGATTTATTAACTCGGGACTAAACCAGGTCTAAACCAGGTCTAAACCAGGACTAAACCAGGACTAAACCAGGTCTAAACCAGGTCTAAACTCTTGCTGTAGGAGAAGAGCCAGCGGTTGGATTCTGAATGAGGATGAAACAAATTAATTAGGGAGCTTCGCGATGGTGTTTGCGCTGATTAATGCTCCAGACTCAGATTTAATTAAACGTGAGATACGCATCAGTCACGTCACGACGCAGCGGGAGGTTTATTTCCCACGTATTTACTTCAACAACAAACATCAACACGTCTTTTAATCCTAAAGTGTGTGTTTTAGTGACGCCTCATTATTTCAGTTAGAAGCCACGTCATGGATCAGGCCCATTACGCGTCTCCTCAGTAATGGAACGGGGAAAAAAATAAAAATAAAAAAATTAAATTAAAATGTGAAAATGTGTGTTATTATTATTACATGTCTATTTTAAATTATAATACAGATCATGTAAAAAAAAAAAAAAAATAAAATAAATAATAATAATTAATTTAAAAGTACGTTGTTGACAAATACGTCACTTCCTGTTTGGCTCGGTCATGATTTCGCTTGAAACTTTCTCCGTTTAAACTTCAATTTATCGAGTTATTTTTATTATTTCTGTCTCTTGTTGGACCGGAGCGCGTTTGTTACATGTAAATTGCACTTTTGTACGTGTCTGCGCTGCACTTTGGCCTGAATATTTGTGTAAAAACGCGTCCCGTCGCGCTAGCTCGGGGCTAATTAGCATCGTTAGCATCTTTAGCATTTTTAGCATCACGTTATTCCGGAGAAATGTCCACAAAAGCAGAATCTACAGCAGGTAAACCCACTCAGACACACCGAGTTTAAGACACAATGTGAGTTTCAAACATAAATGCATTTAAAAAAAAAGTTATTTCATTTTTCTTTGGTTAATTAACTTGGGGTGTGCAAAAATATCGGAATATCAATATATCGTATTGTTTAATGTGATGATACAGTATCGATATCGTGGGCTACTGTATCGATATATCACCAAGAGTATTTTTAGGTGTGTTTTACTAAATTATTTTGTTACAGTGCTACAGTTTTGTTGCTTGTGGAGTGAAAGGAAACTCATTTATGCAACACATTTGACATTTTTACTGTTTGGATAAACATCCAAAATGTTTGTGTTTCATATGAACTTTGCACAAGAAATGGTTTAACAAAGACTTTTAGTATCACAGCCACGATTTAGCCTTTATTTTTAATTGAACCGTATCGAATCGATTTGAAATATATCATATCGAATCAAAAGTGCACTGTATCGAGGTATGTATCGTATCGTGGCTTGTGTATCGATCGTATCGGTGGCTGTGTATCGTATCGTATCGTGGCTTGTGTATCGAGGTATGTATCGTATCGTATCGTGTGCGTATCGTGTATCGAGGTATCGTATCGTATCGTATGGCTATGTGTATCGAGGTATCGTATCGTATCGATATGTATCGTATCGTAATCGTGTGGCTCGTATCGTATCGTATCGTATCGGTATCGTATCGTATCGTGTATCGAGATATCGTTCTTAATGATATCCAGCCCCACAATTAACATAATCATGACTCATATTACAATGATTTAACACAGAAAATTATACATAACACTGAAATTATTTTACAGACTGAAGAGGTTTAGGCTGAAGTTTTAACGTTTTTATTTTGCTTGACCTTATTAACATATAGAACAGGAGACAGACGGCAGAACTACTTACAGAAAAAATAAAAATAAATAAACAGTTTTATTTTATTTATGTTTATTAATCGCATTAGACAGGTCAGATTTGTTGCTTTGAGTGTTTTTTTTACACAAGTGTTAGTTTTTAACACTTGTCCTTTAGGCTGCATCATTTGCCCCAGTGTCAGAAATTCAAACATTTTAAAACGTGACAAAACCAATTAAAAGAAAATCTGTGGAATATTTGCTCAATTTAATAAAATCTACTGGGTCCAACAAGACTCTTAAGTTCCATCTTAACAATGTCCATAAAGCTCTGGCACAAAAATCAGTTTTTCTCAAATAACTTAAATTAAGTTAATAACTTAACTTAATAATGATTAAAAATTAATAATAATAATAATAATAATAATGATTAATTATGATTTTTTTTTGTCATTCACTTTTTATTGGATTTATTGGAAAGAATATGTACACAGTCCTTTTGGCACACGCACACACACACACACACACACACACACACACACACACACACACACACACACAATCTAATACACATCGATGTTCACACACAGAACCAAGTACATGTTAGTACCTGCTTGAAATCGCCCACATCAAACACAAACCTACACAAAAACTCTGTCAGTCGTTTGTGCTGCAAAAAGTTTTGGAGATATGAACGATTCTTTTACAGGTCAAATTGGGCTCAGCAGCCTCCAGGAAGATTCAGAATGAAATAAAACAACACAAAATGGAGTCAGTCGTTTGTGCTTCGTTTGTGCTGCAAAAAGTTTGGTTTGTGTGATTCTGGTTCTTAAAATACGAAGTTTTATTTTGGGTCGATGATCCAGCCCCTGAAAATGTGAAACAGCCTCAAAACAACAGAAAATTAAACCAAACATTTGTCTTTGCTGTTTTGTGCTGTTTTGTGCTGTGACTGTTTTCATTTGTGTGAGTTTATTTCTAAAATTATTAATTATTATTTTCACGGAAATGATATGAGGTCATTTCCGTTCAGCTGATGACAGCGGCTTTAACAAAACTCCACAAAACTAATGAAGAGAAACGACCTGAGGCTGTGGAAAAGTCTGTATCAGCCTTTAGTAACTCACTTTTGATTCATATTTTATAGAATAATTCAGACTTTTCCACAGCCTCAGATCATGAAAACAGTCAGAACACAAAACAGCACAAACCAAACACAAACATATAACATTTTCTGCTGTTTTGATTCTGTTTCACATTTTGAGGGGCTGGATCATCGACCCAAAATAAAACTTCATATTTTAAGAACCAGAATCACACAAACCAAACTTTTTGCAGCACAAACGAAGCACAAACGATTGACTCCATTTTGTGGCACAGTGATGATGTTTGAGAGCATTTTGAAGCTTATGCAAACGTGTGAATTAATGTTTTTGAGGCCGTACCGTATTTTCCGGGCTATTCGACGCCTCTTAAGCCTCCAACCGCATCAAAAAACGACCACGCGCCACAATCCAGAGCGCCCCATACACGAATCCACTCGGGTGTCCCAGCACGACTTCAGTAAACTACAAAACCACAAACACACACAGAGCAGACAGCGACCGCACAGAGAAACACACCCACACACACTCCTCACTCCACGCCGACGACGAACGGAACGGAGGAACGAACCGAAACAACGAGTGCAACGTGCCGCTTCTAGACAGTGTTGGGAAGTTTACTTTTAAAATGTAATCCCCTACAGATTACAGATTACACACCCCAAAATGTAGTTTGTAACATAATCCATTAAATTACTTAAAGTGAGTAATGTAATCTGAATACTTTGGATTACTTGATTTGCTGTAGAGAAACAAAGACGAGAAAATCTTCACATAAGAAGTTTTATCTGATAAAAGAAAATAAAAAGCCCAGACTTTAACCGTATTAAAAATATTATTGATGGAAGACGAGGAGACATGGTCTGCACAGCAGGATTTAGTCCTGTTAAATCCTCTTTTAGACCTGGTTTAGTCCTGGTTTAGACCTGGTTTAGACCTGGTTTAGACCTGGTTTAGTCCTGGTTTAGACCTGGTTTAGTCCTGGTTTAGACCTGGTTTAGTCCTGGTTTAGACCTGG